GAGGGGGTCAGCAATAGTGGCGTTTTCCATACGGATCCCAATTCGTCAGTCACGACTGACGTAACGTCGAACGTGACTGACTGAAAGGGAACGTCTCGGTTACTTGAGTAACCCTCGTTCCCTGAAGGAGGGAACGGAGATGTTACGTCCCGTCGCCACAGTTGCTGTACCACCGCTGTACGGCCGGGGCGCAAGTCTCGGCTCCTCAGCGAAAAACTGATGTGCGTTTACACGCATGCCAACTGTCATTGGCTTGTTTAGTTAACACTCGAAGGGGATTGGGCTCTCGGGCGAGATCCCAATTCGTCAGTCACGACTGACGTAACGTCTCCGTTCCCTCCTTCAGGGAACGAGGGTTACACAAGTAACCGAGACGTTTCTAACAAGTGGCTAAATGGGACTACAGAGGTTGCCGGGGACAATTACTTTTGGCGATTGTATTTAAGCTTCAAAATATAATAGCTGAAGATTATCACAATGACCAAAACGTGTAAGAATCATAAACTTATGTTGGTTATAGATTTAATTTTCTCTAGTAAATCCAAAAGCCAATGGAAAAATCATATTGGGTTTTTGTCGAGGGAACCAAAGAAAAATGCAAACATCTGGGTTGGTCTACAAAAATACACTGCAGGACTCTATTTTTCAACTTTCCATTTAAATAAATAAATTCCTGATGGATAAGATCATATTCTGCCCTTTATTTTTTTTCTTATTGAATATTATCTGTCCATATTTATGTGGCATTTTTAAAAAGATTTACTATAAGCCACCACAGTTATTCTGATTGTATCCATTTTTTTAAAGAGAGAAACCACTGGATCGGTCTGAGAGTGATATGTTTTTTATTTTTTAAAACATATTCTTGGCATTGACAGAAAACCTTGTCTACGGAAGAGATGAACTTCAAACAATCTGGATGATATTACTATCACTTACACACTCTTGGGCTGTTATACTCGATGTCACTCACGGAAACACGTCACTGGCTTTCCAGAGACCCTAGTTTATCACGCGAGTGTAAATTCTATTGACGTCAACTAAACACATGTCTTTTTCATGCTGTATTAAAACAGTCTTTACTCAGCCTTTGCATTTTTGGACCAGGAATGCTGTGGAATGCATTTGTAAAGACAAACTTCTTTATTTGTTCTAAATCATAACGACACCTGAAATATTTATATTCAAGCCTGAATTTGCTTGTAGTTTATAGTCAACTTGAACTGTTTTCACAACCAATTTTATGTGAAGCAATATTCAATGAGAGAAAAAAGTAGGATGTTACTTGAGAGTGCAACAGTCAAGTTCTGAAAGTAAAAATGCCATTAATTTTCTCCATACGGAAACAGATTTTTTTTTTTTTTACAGTAATTTATAAACCTTTAAGGACAAGACCTACTGTGAACTTAATCGATGGTATATGCTTTTGGTGGTTTACACTTTTGTTGAAGCCAGTAGTTTTCATTATTTTAACTTATCTTTTAAATAATTGTGTTTAATAGTGGAATCAAAACTACATTACCCATGATACTGTACAGAAAATTCCACCAATCTGAGAGTAGCAGCAAGCAAATTGCGCCAAACAAGTGCTTAGCTCTGCCCACTAGCATGAAGCACAGCAAATGACAATCGAGTCAGTCTCCCCACACTCTCAAAATACTTAAATATTTGAATATATATTGTAATATATACTGTAATAATAATAATGTAATAATATATTGTTATATATTATATTGTTTTCTATATACACAGTCAACAACTTGGATAGTTTTATATTTCTCCATAATTTTTAATTTGTCATTTGCAATGGTTCATGGGATTGTAGTTCTTTCCCTCACTATAGCCGTTGAGTACACAGTCTTGTACCTTTGCCTTTTCGTCCATTTTTTGTTTCAAATAAAAGTTGGTAATGTTGTGATTCACCTCATAGCTGGTTGGTTTGGTTCATGGCTTATAACGCTTTAATGAAGAATTTTTTTAATTCCTATAGGAAAAATTAATGGAAAAAATACTTCCGGAACCAACAGTGCTGAAAAAGTTGGCAGGCACTAATGCACTCTATTCAAATGATTAGATCGTAAAAGTGAGCGTTACAAATCAGAATGCTACCAGATGATTGGAGGGGAGGGGCCGAAAAATAAGAGGGCTTGGTTTATATCAGAAAATTAGTTTCAGAGGCAACGCAAGTTTTAATGGCAATTTTAGTGTCACTCTCATGTCATTCCAAACTCTATAAGATCTAAGTTTATCTTAGAAACAAACGTACCATCGAGCTTCCATTTACCATAATTGATGTGCTCTGAAATTTGTTCATAATATAAAATGATCGTATCTCCTCAGACGACTTGAATTAAACAGATTGTTTCATATGGATTTCTTTTACAATCTCTTGATGTACTTTCTGAAGCTTAAGAGTTATAGTGGAAGGGACAGAAATGTCTCAGGTTTCATTCAAAAGATCTTCATTTGTGTTTCAATGGTGAAGTCTCATTCTTGCAGTTTATTGGACAAAATGTTTAAGTCCATGAGTTAAAGAAGAGTCATTAATATATTTGATCCCTTTTTCTGGAAACGAAAGACTGCATATAGATCGACTCATAGCATATAGATGAATTCAAAGTTAACAGAAACAGGCTAAAAGCAAACCATTCTGATTTCATGGCACCTTTTGGGATATTTTAAGTTCTTGTTCAATTAAACTGTCCTCATCAGGATGAATGACTGTGGATGAGATGAGTGAACTTGTATTACCTGTCCCCATTCTCCAGGGATCCAGCGTGGCGGCGGACAGCGTCCTAAGCTGCAGCGAATACGGACTGGAGGTTTGTTTTGGTCAGAACAGAGGGCTGGTGGGAAGGTTTTGGTCAGGTCGCTACTTTTACACAGAACAATGCGGTGCTTGAAGCCAGGGCCACACTTTGGGGTGCACTGTAAACAAAAACACAATAATATTAAAACTAAAAGATTGGCAGGCATTCTAGACGATACAGATACATGAAGAACACATCAAGTCACCTCAGACCAGTCCAGCATCACCCACTGGGGCGGGCAGGACTGATTGTTGCAGGACTCTTGTTCTATTGGCCGATGGGTCAGACAGTGGCTGTCCTCCAGGGTCTCCTCCTCAGTGGGTCCGATTTTACGGATACACAAAACAGTGCGTGTTCGGATGCCTCCGTCACAGGTTTTCCCACATTCTGACCAGTCACCGATAAACCACCTGAAACACAAGTAAACGGAAAATGGAAATTCTCAGTCCATAAATATTACTAACAACCATTGAACTGTAGATTTCATCAAAATATATTTTTACATGTATAGCATATACTGTAAAAAAGTTTGGGGTAAGTGAGATTTTAGGCTTTTTTAAAAGAAATGTCAAATAAATGCTGTTCTTTTGATCTTTCTTTTCATCAACGAATCCTGAAAAAAATGATCATGGTTTCCACAAAAATATGAAGCAGCACAGCGGTTTTCAAGTGATAATAAAAAAAATGTCTTGAGCAGCGAATCAGCATATTAGAATGATTTCTGAAGGATCATGTGACACTGTTGAGTAGACTGATGCTGAAAATTCAGATTTGCTTTACAGGAATAAATTACATTTTAAAATATATTTAAATAGAAAACAGTTATTTTAAATTGTAATAACATTTCACAATATTACAGTTTTACTGTTTTTTGATCAAATAAATGAATCCTTGATGATATTTCTGACCCCAAACTTTTCATCAAAATATATGTTCAGCACCCCCCAATAAATACCATTAAAAACCATGCTGTGTTTTTATCACACTCGTAGCAGTGCGATAAGGCTGCATATCAGAACGGCTGTGATATGGCAGTAGGTAATCACAGCATGCTGATATATAGCCATATTGCACTGCTACGAGTGTGATATTGCTTTTATACAACAGTTTGATGGCACAAGAGTGTAAATAAAAAAAAGAGACCAAAAACAACAAGTGTCTTTAAAAACCCTCATTTGTGTGGAACTACTTCCTTCCACCACGGATTCAAATCTCAGTTTGACAGTTTAACAGCTGAGCTCAAGCCCCGTTACTAATTCGAAAACGTCATTAGAACTTTAATAACGAAGGAACGTTGAGTTGCTTCATTGAAAGCTTATTGTATCACCGTATTAAAAGCTCACTGTACTGTATTATATAGAGTCGAGTATTATAAGAGAGAGATGGACTGAGTGAGTGTGATTACCTGCATCTGATACAGCATTCATTCTTCAGCTCAATCTCATATTCACAATAAAACATTAGTTTGAATGTCCGCTGAGGAAAGCGATATTTTTGTCGTATTATCCTTCCATCTGATAAGGATGATTTCCGATGACAGCGCTGCTCACTGCATTTGTTGGCTGCGTCTTACAAGGTGTTGTTGAAAGTAAAAATAACTTCCTTTTTTACGACCCTGTTTCAGTCTCTTTCAATATAAAAGTATTTACTGCTGACTCATCTAATGGCGGAATAATATAACTAAAATCACCATCACGTACACACACAACATTTCTCAATACTAAATAATACTATTATTACATACTACTATGATTTATATAAAATATAATTTATTTAATAATATTTAATAAAGAACAATTTCCATCATAAAAGCTGCTAGGTAATTCAGTCAAATGTACAAAGGCAGCACTCTGATATACAGCATTGAAGTTACATAAAATATAACGTGATGAGATTTTGCCCTCAGCCAAAACTATTTGCTCTGGAACAAATAATAGATTAAAGAGACCAAAGATTACCCGTTAGATTTAACCAAAACGAATTATATCTCATGTTTAACCACTATAGAGACATCAGAGCCAGCTGCAAATTCCAAAAGATCTGGCCGAGGTGAGGCTGCTCTCGGCGGGTTCATGAGCGCTGAACGGCCACTGACACCCTGGAGCTCACATCTCCGAAAACGTTGAAGCAAATTTTCAAGTAAGACGTTATCTTTATTAACAAACCGCATATTTGAAGTTTAAACAAGTACATTCTCGCCTAAAAAACTCTTAAAACTACATTCCATGACACAAAAACAGTATTATTTATAAAATTATAGTGGATTTGGGAGTCCGCTGGACATGACACTCGCTGTAAGAAATACTGCAAGTGGAGGGATACAAATGGTGAAACGGTTGGAATGCTGTTATCACTAGAATAACACACAGCTGGAAAAGGCTCTCAGCCAATCAGATTTAAGAACCAGAAAGAACTGTAGTATAAAATGATATATACTTAAAATAATTGTGTAAGTAGTAAAACAATACAAACACAATACTATGTGGAGGACGCAAGATAATTTAATAATTATAATATGACCGTGTGGTGAACCTATGAACCTAACTCATATTTAAACAACTATCACTTTGTGTTGTTGGACAAATAAAATGACAGAGAAAATAAAAACGGACATAAGATAATTTTTTAGTGCACCAAAATGCCAAGTAAGTGCAAAAAGTCCCCATTTTAAGGCTTTAATTAAAGCAAAACATCTTTGTGTCCCCTTCAAAAATTGCTGTTGAGAAGTTTTTATTATTCATTGAAATTTACACCCATGTTTTTTTTTTCATCAAGATCTTGATTTTGATTTGATTTTGGGCTTAACACAAAGAATGTCTTGCCACATAGGGGTCTGGAATTACAGAGAAAAGAAACTTCTGGTATAAATGGTCTGAAACACCATTTTATTTACTCGCCAAAACCATATTTGTACTCTCGTTTAGATTTTGGACCCTGTAAATATAGTCATGGCCAAAAGTTTTGGCAGTGACATAAATTTTGTGTTTTGCAAAGTTTGCTGCTTAAGCTGTTGTGGTGTTCATTCACATTGTTTCTAGATTATTGTGTAGAGGGATCAGATGCATTTTAAATAATTTGCTAAAAGCTTCATTAGCCAAAAAATGAACTTTTCACAAAAAAACTAATTTCACTGTTTTTTGATCCTGACACAAAATGACCAGCTAACATTAATTGACTAATCATATCAGCAGCACATGTGAAAGTGTGAATGAGTACTAGTCAGGTTAATCACTATCATACTAATTAGATTGTAAGAGCAGACTGATTGCTATAAAAGGTGGGAAGAAGCACTTCCAATCATTGTGTTCTTGTTGCCCAAAAACACTGCCATGAATAAAGAATGGTATCAAAACGTCCTGCAAGAGCCACTTCTTCCAACAATCCTTGAGCAGTTTGGTGATGATCCATGCATTTTCCAGCATGATGGAGCACCATGTCACAAAGCAAGAGTGATAAAGATGTGTCTCGAAAATCATTACATTGAAACTTTGGATCCGTGGCCAGGCAACTCCCCGGATCTCAATCTCATAGAGAACCTGTGGTCAGTCCTCAAAAGGCGAGTGGACAAGCAGAAGCCCACAAATTGTGATCAACTCCGAGAACTAATAAGGCAAGAATGGATCGCCATCAGTCAGGATTTGTCCCAGAAGCTAATATCCAGCATGTCAGAGCGAATTGCAGAGGTTATGAAGAACAAGGGTCATCACTGTAAATATTGACTCATATTTTTTGCCAATAAAAGCCTTTAAAACTTATGATATGCTTATCATTGTTTTTCAGTATACCATCGAAACATGTGGGAAAATAATCTACAAATACTGAAGCAGCAAACTTTGCAAAACACAAAATTTATGTCACTGCCAAAACTTTTGGCCATTATTGTACACATTGTTAATGTTCAACAGGTTAAGAACTCCACACAATGGCAACAACAATTCCAAATTTGCGTTCAATTTGTCTTCTTTTTTGGCAAAATTAGTTCTATGCTTTTAGCTGGGCTGTGGAAGATAGGCATTTTTATATAAATGTCTGACTTTTATCATTTGGTACGGCTGAATTAAGTTTTGTGCGGTTCGTTTGCATTCTCTTGGCGATGCTCTGATAAAGAAATGGATGACGGTTCTTATGAAACACTACAAGTAAAATAAAATTAAAGTTGGACATAAATTATTAACGAAATAAAATCTGTCATTATCTGCAAGATCATTAGAGAGAAATTGCCTCCCCCAAAACAACAGGGTGTTCTCGAATGACCATTATGACCCTTTCTGGGCCAGAGATTGCATTCCTCTGACATCAGGTGGAGATGGAAATAGATTTTAGATGATGTTATTAGCGATGCCCATCTTGGGGTTCAGGTTCACTAAACCCTCCACTGGCAAGATGCAGGAGCGCAGAGGCCAAAACCATTTAATTCCTCCTTCCAATTTAAAATTTGCAGACACAAGTGAACTTTGCTCAGCTGCTCGCCCCATTGAAAATGAGCCGCCGCACACATGCATACTCCACACGTTTATGGATATTGTCCCTTGAGGGTTCATAAACTCTGCTTGCCAATACAATTAAACGCAGGTGATCACTCATACTTTTTTTTGGATGCCTTTAGGATTTTGGCACCAAAGTCCAAATGAAAATAGGCAACATATGAAGAAATAAATCATGTTGCTTAGTTTTTAAGTTGTCTTCAAAGAGGCTCTTTATGGCCGGGGTGCTATGAAGACAAATGAAACATTACGGGTTGTGGCCCTTTGTGCTTTTTATTGCCGGGCAGCCATGTACTATTTTGATAAGGCTCATCAAAACAGAATAACATTTCTGTATTTTATCATCCTAGGCTGGCAAAGACAGCAAAACCTTGATTATAAGCCACATGTTTAGGAAATTAGATATATTTTACCTCAGAATTCAAGGAAAATTATATCGATAAAATTAAATTTTGTATGAAATAAATAAATAAAGCCTGTTTTTTATAACAATTAAGATTTTTTTCTACACTGTGACATTAATTTCTTGACAGTTAAACCCTATTTCTCAGTAGTGTATTGTAACACAGTCTCCTTTGATGTGATGCAATAAATCTTTTTCATGAAAATCTAAGTCTCGTAATCAGCCGTGACCATGACAAGTGACAGGACATTTTGATAATCATTTGGCTTCTTTTACTTTGGCGTCACACTGGGTAGACCTGCTTATTGTGAAATATCATTTGTTCAGAACTCTGCTACTCATAACTGTATATCAAATAACTTCTGATTGGTTGAAACTGTGTCTTCTTGTGCAGCATTTTTTGCTGTCAATGTGGACAGGATTGCTTGTCACTGGAAACTTGTCACATCTTCAGTTTCACATATGATGTAAAGCAAAAACATCTCATTGCCATTCCCATAATGCAAAAAGTAATAATAAAGTACAATTTTAAGTATGTATGATGATAGTTTTCATTATACTGAATTTAATTGATACAAGTATAATAATAATAAAAATTAAAAAAAAATGTCCGGATTATTCTTCATACTTCATTACAGTATTGAGAATTATTTTTTTTTAAATTACAGTAATTTGGAAGGAGAACATTGCAAAAAAATAAATCAGTATTTTCTAATTCTAATCAGTATTTTTGCCTTGTTTTCCAGTGGTGGTAACAATTATAAACAGACTATACTTTAATTTTTACCTTGTTCCTGATATGAATCACAAATTTCAGTTTGAGATTCCTGAGTGTTTTTTTTTCCCTAATACACCTCAAATTTGCCATACTCACTCCGGAGGACAAGGCTCGGTGTTGCAAGGTCGCTGGTTCCCTGGCGGTTTGCTGTCCGGGTCGCAGTAGCTGTTTTGGACCACTGAACCGTCGTCCAGTCTTTTACAAACCACCTCCTGCTTCTGCGAGCCTGCAAAAAGACAATAAAACATCACTTCATTCATCTGCCTCGCGCTTTCAGCTGGGAGATAGTTTTCGACACTTCAGCAGCTCGTGTGCAAGTGTGGTCGGCGTCGATCCCTGAGGTAAAACTACTTCTCTGTCTCTTCTCTAGGGGTCCACTTGCTGACAGAGCACTCTGTGTGGATAGAGGCACGGAGGCGATATTATTTTTCCCTCAGTATTATATCTAGGTGTGTAAATGCCTCGGTTGAAGTGAGTGTCTTAGTGAATTACTTTTACAGAGAAGCCAATCTTTTCTTTGGCTCTTGGTTGTGAAAAGTGAGCATTACCACAGTAATGGCAGAGTAGTGCGCTACGCTATATACTCAGCACTAGGAGCCATTGGTGCAGGGGCTCTTTGGGGCCCATAAGGAAAGACATTAGCCTCCAGTTAAGATGGTTTATTCCAAGATTGGCTAATGCACAAGGCCACCTTGTGAGGTGGATCTAATAGCTGCCAATACGGCATTCTTGACTGGGAAACCGAAATAATGAAATACTCCGGTGGGAGTGTGATGACCCCTTTCGAGAAAAGAGATTTGATTCGCTGAAACCAAACTAGGGGGTAAAAATAAAATCTCATGACATCAGTTCATGATGTAAGACCGTTATCAGTGTTGTTGCACATAACGATCAAAATAAAAAGACGGCAACATTGAAATTTAATGGGAGTTTGTAGAAAAGCAGGAATCAAGCCCAAGCATCTGTAGCGGTGTGAATCACGAATCATTTTTAAAAGAATATTGCAGAATTTTTATGGCAGCTCACTCGGTGTTTAAACACTCCCTGTGTGGCTTGCCAACAGAACAGCGGTGAATTGTATTAATAACACAAAATTTCAAAAATGACATAAGTCTTGCTCTGGGGTATTTCCATATAAACTAAAATGTAAATTGAGCAACAAATGAGGTTGAGTTCACTGAGCCCGTAGAAAACCCCTCCGTGGACTAGCCTGCGATGTTTGCATATTTTGGTGAAATATAACACGTATTTTGAATGTTTTCAATGGCCATACTTTAAAAAAGCAGAGAGGAAAACTATTTATTGTTGTAAGAAAGCCATTTATTTCGGGGCAGCCTGAACACTCTGGTCATATTTGAGGTGAGGGCTCACATTTACATGTGGTTACGACATTCAGATGTTGAAATAAGCCTTTCACTGCATAACTTGTACATTAGCAGTACAAATTGATGGACCCTATAGTCCTATGTCAGATAAAATACACATTTTATCATTCTGTTGGATTTTATTACTAATAAAAAAGATGACTCTGCTGAAAACACCAGCATGAATTTACAGTCCAATATGCTTCACAAACAAGACATGGCAAAGCAAAATGGAGCTTTCAAGATTCAAAAAGATCATAAAAGTACCATGAAAGTATCAAAGTAGTCCAAAGCAGATCAGTTCAATTCATAATGAATCATTCAAACCGGTTTTGTGCAACACCAGGATGCGCATACATTTTAAAAGTGTGCATAAAAAACTTGTGTGCTCAATTTTTTGACAAGAAGACATGCACATAAACTACAATGGAAACATTTAACTAATAAAATCCTTGATGCACATAAAAAAAAGTCATGTGACTTTGCCTCAACGGATCATGTGATTGGATAACTGGATAAGTAATCAAACACCATATCAAATGTTAATCATTTTGAAATGCCTGAGCCAAAGTCCGTCATCAAAATTATTTGGTATATTAATCACCTCCCATGTCTGTCTCACACGATTGTGTTCCCAAACATTAGGAATCCTGATTTATTTCATAGTAAAACAGAGCCACAAGTATCCCCGGATGCAGCAACTTTCATTTTTATTACTAATACTTTGCACCAGTTTCCCAGGAAGTGGCGATTTTGTTCACTTGAACACATGGGATAGAAACAGTGCTTTATTTACAAATGTTTTGTGTAATATTTAAATTTTGAGCACAAGTTAAATTCGCAACTTTAGATGGAAACAGCTAATGAACAGTAGGTACAACAAATTTTCTTAGTAAGGACGTGAATGATTGATTGGTTTACCTCCTGCACATGTTGCAGAGCACTCAGACCAGGGCAGATGGTGCCAGGAGAAGCCCATTTCATTGTCCCCACTTCCTATACGCTGAATCGGCACATTGAACTTGTAGTGGATGCCCAGGTTTTGTTCCTGTAGTAGCACCTGAAACATTAAAAATGGATGGCAGGTTACTTTTCTGTTGCTAATATAATGGGTCTACCGAAGAGTTCAGGGTCTACCTGGTTAGTTTTGTTCCCAAATTGTGGCAAACAGCACACTGACGGACACAAATATTTCAGTATATTATAGTAGAAGGAATTTTAGAGTAGTTCATAGCGGGACTGTGCACATTCTTTGGTGGCATCAGCCAATCAGTGTTGTCGTGATGTCATTTCCCCTTCCTGACTGGCTCAAAGAAGAAAAATTTGATGTGTCAATGAGCAAAGATGGATGCAGGTTGCAAACATCCGAGGCTGGATGCGCCAACCAGGCAACTGTCATTGAGATGAATTGGAATTTCTCCAGGTATTATAGAACTCCATGGTCTTAACCAAGGATTTCGGCAAAGGAAGTTAGTCTTGGATCGGTGACAGAAAGACAAATACCGAGGTCTTAAAAATGCATGGAATAGAGCAATCAAATTATTAAGAAGAGGAGATTTTTTTTTGAATGAGCCCAACCTCAGTTCAGCTTCAACGAGCACATATTTAGCATATCACATCAGCTTTACTCCTGAATTACTTAGTCAGAGAGTTGTAATTGTGTGTGTGTGTTATAAATTGGAAAGCCATGTTAACCAGTGTGGGCCACAATGGAATGGCTTGCGGTGCACTGGCCACTTGTATGTTTTCCAGCGGCGCTGCGACCAGGCCTGGTATTTCCAGCACTTTTGTCCAGGTGAAAGCCATTGTGGTTGCCGAGACGGGGCTTTTCAGAATGAACACACACACGCGTGCTAAAACATGTGCACATGAGCACTCTCATTTGGACAGACAGAGGTTTTTAGTGCAAACATATATAACGGTTAACTCTGAAACCGCTAGCCAGAGTTCATGTGAGGTTTGTACACAGATGTGGACTTTATTTAGAATGAGGCAAGCAGTTTCAAACTGCACATTCACAACACAAGCCTGCTCTACAGTATCACTACTGTGACTTTCCTACAAGACACCTTGACTATATGAGATTTTATAGTCTGACAATAATTCAAAGGAAAGACCTGAATTGCTGTGCAAAAACCTATTCCACTTTGAAATTGTATTTAACTGTAGCTTGTAGTATTAAATTAAATTGTAGTATTAAACTTTAGCTTGCTCTATCTGTTTTCTTTTTATTTATTATATGATTTAAAAAAAAAAACTTGCTACGTGTACTGCATTAAGCTGAGACTTGTTATAGCACTTGCATATCATTGCTCTTTTGTTGATTTTGATTGCTTCCATTGTCCTCATTTGTACGTCGCTTTGGATAAAAGCGTCTGCTAAATGATTAAATGTAAATGTAAATGTTACTGTAGATTTAATTTTCAAATAAAACACATATTTTTTGTTGTAGATAGAATGTAAATTGTGTCCAATTTTGTAAAACTAATTCATTTTTAAAATGCATTCTGTACTTTTAAATGATGTTAAATGTATTTTAAAATTTTCCAAGCAAGCAAGCAAAATTGTCATACAAATACAGTAACTGTGCAATGTGAATGCATTTTCAAAAACACTAACCATGACATAAAATGTATTTTACATAAAAATGTAATTAATTTACTAATTATTTTTGTCACTTTTGCTGAAAGGAAAGTGAAGTAAGAGGAAAAAACAGGTAGAAGAGAGGAAGGGGACATACACAAATTAAATGCAAACTCAGGTTTCCCACATAGTTTTGAGCATGTAATTGACCTGCCAGGCCATATATCCTACATATACTTCTAAAACACTTGCACTACTAACACACTACTGTATTCTTTACAGTAAATAAAGATCGACTCACCATAACCACCAAATTTTCAGTGGTGGCCCCTAGAGCTTCTAGCGACTCGGGTTCGTCAGTCGGCCTCTTGTAGTGGAAGGCTGTTCCTGCGATGTCAAATTTGCGGGGCCAGTCGATGGTCCAGGCTCCGTTGATGTAATAGTCATCCCCCTCCGATTTCAAAGCTGTGACAAGCGAGAGCTCCAGTTAATAACCCGACACGAGCGAGATGCTGCCAAGCAGAGAGAGAGATGTCATCGCTGTCATTCATCAACATGATGAGCATCATCTTACAGAGGAGCTCAGGCTTCCTGATGTCAAGGGCAATTTTCACTCTCGCTTTCAGACGCTGTGCAGCTTGTAGATCTAACTTACCAAGTTCAGGTGAAAGTCTGCCTTCCTTACAAATACTGTAACTGCTCAGTTGTCAAAACAAAGATCTCACCTCAAAGCATAACACACCTCAGAATATTCACTCTTGTCTTGATGCAGATGGGGCCAAATTGTAGAAGAACAATCCTTGTACTCACTCCAGCTCAAAAAGACACCATTTATTTTTCTTAAAGGTACACCAAGTATTTTTCAAACAAAGAAATGAATGGTACTTTTAATAAATCTTTCAAATGGTAACACTCACATTGAAGATTAGGATGTTTTATTACAAATTGGGCAGCTCCAAATAGACAAATATTATCTTGGTACTAATATTTGGCTAAACTACCTAAAATAGCCAAATTGTAGCACACGATTAGTCTCAGCCTGCACGCCAGTCATGCCCACGGACAGTTAGATGAACGTCTGATGCATACGGCACACAAAACTGGAAACACTTCAGGAGTTTCGAAGTTGTCATTGGATTGGTTGAATTATACAGGATTTCCGGGAGACCCCCTCATGGGAGAAGAAAGTCGTCGTGTTTACAACTGTGATAATGAGCGCTTATCAGGATCAACTAAGCGTTGGATTTTCAAAAGTGTGTGAAATATTTAATGTTCACGGCATAGACTCTTTAAAAATGCCCAAGAGTTTTACACACCGGTCTTTTATTGTGGGGACATTTCCACGCCCCTAAACATGACGCAGCACAAAACGAAACGTGATTGGTTGCGTTACCTGTCAGTCATGTGGCCTCTTGGGTGGTCCTTGGCCATTCAAAGCGGCCAAGGTTCCCAGACCTTCTGCCATTAGTCTGAAGGTCTGGCTACACGAGACTAGCCCACTATCATTTTGTGAATTAAATAAAATGAAAATGAAAATAATTGTTTTCCCCCCATGGAACAATAAAGGAGAAATTTAGCAGAATGTTTAAACTGCTCTTTTCCATGCTTGAAAGTAGTGACTAGCTCCAAAAAGGACAAAAAGCAACATAAAAATAATATGACTTTTACATGAGTGACTGAAAAGACTTTAAGATTTAAGCCAATATTACCTAAAAAAAGGATTCACATTTTTATACATAGTGTGTCAAGATGTGTCAGACAGGTTAGATATCGATGATACCAAACGGCAATTGGTTCTTGCAAGTCTCATAACTGAAAGTGACATGGCATGTTTTGATATGAATGCATAAGCATTCGCCATACGTGAAAGAGTTGTATAAAAGTTCTTCAAAAACCCTTCTTTTGTGTTCCATGGAAGAAAGTAAGTTATACAGGTTTGGAACAAAATAACTGAAAAGAATAGAATTTTATGCCCTCAAACTATCAGTTATATGACACAAGGGGCAAAACCAACCAGAAAGATAAGACAGTTGTTTCAGTTAGAAATGAAAAGAACTGACTGATGTTAAACATCAAATGAACCAATTCTGTAAGCATGCTACATCATTATCAGCCAAATATTTGTCAGACATTAAGGATCTCAAGACCATTTAAAAAAATTCTCACTTTAAACAGGGCCATATGTTTATATTTGACAAATGTGGCATGCATGTGAATGTCTGAAGGAGACAAAATGTGTTTTACAATTTTCTTAAATACGTTGCTCGCAAGCCCTTTGGCGCTAACATTGGCCACCGCTGTGCTAGAACATCAACAACTTATCTTCCTTTCAAACGGCGAGAAAAACCTCCACATCAACATGATAGATAACAAAACCCAACAAGCTGTCATTCACACTAGCTATATTTATGTTTGCACTCAAAACAACTTAATTGGACCCGCTTGTTTGATTGTTTTAATTAGTTACATGGCTGAGAACCATGATGGTTTTACTCAGCTTGCGGTTGGGAAAAGACAACAGGCAAAATCAAGGCAATGAACAAATATAAGACATGAGAGCGAGGAAGGCTGTCAGATTGATCCAGATTTACAGCCACAACAAAGCCTAAAACAAACCATTTCACTACTTTTGTACCCAGTATGGCTTCATGAAGCTTCAAGAAGATAAATACAAACACTCACCAATGTAGTTCTTTGACACGGCCTCTTCCCTGATTTCAATATGAACCGATCCTTTTGGTATCTGGACAATCTCCATATAACCTACGAAATGTAAAACTTGATTTAGAAAATGTACAAAATGAAGCAAAACCTGAATTTTACTCATAGAACAGCACTATTTTGCAGTTGTCCATAAATGTGCATGCATAGATGTACTATATGTTTTGTTTAGCAGCATTTTTTTTTGCATCATGAGTGCCGCAAACCTACAGTGCCATTATATTTAGGTAATGATGGTCGCTTAATCAACTAGTCCACCCAACATATGTATTTAGTTTTTATATTTTTAGTGTCACTTAAATTAGCATGCTGTGCTTCAATTAGCATTAGCGTGCTATGAGAGTTTGCTCTGTATATCTCTCTCTTAAGTTTTGTCTTTGAATTGATCTCCTTTAAAGCACCACATTCAGAGACTTTTTTTGGCGACACTCTTACATTGTTTTTTGAGTGTATAACTGCAAGATAGATATATACACTACAGCTCAAAAGTTTGGATTCAGTAAGACTTGTAATGTTTTTTAAAGAAGTCTCTTATGCTCAGCAAGGCTGCATTTATTTGATAAAAAATACAGAAAAAAACAGTCATCTTGCAAAACGTTATTACAATATAAAATAATGGTTTATATTTTAATATCCTTTAAAATATAATTTATTTCTGTGATGCAAAGCTGAATTTCCATCAGCCATTACTCCAGTATAAAGTGTCACATGATCCTTCAGAAATCATTCTAATATGCTGATTTATTATCAGTGCGAGTAATGGCTGATGAAAATTCAGCTTTGCATCACAGAAATAAATTATATTTTAAAGTATATTAAAATAGAAACCATTATTTTATATTGTAATAACATTTTGCAAGTTTACTGTTTTTTTCTGTATTTTTGATCAAATAAATGCAGCCTTGACGGGCATAAGAGACTTTAAAAAACATTACAAGTCTTACTGAACCCAAACTTTTGAGCGGTAGTGTGTATATTATATATATATATATGTATGTATATGAAAGCTGTGTAGTTTTGCAGATTCCTAATCATAACTCTGTAATTCCAGAAAGAAAACCAACATTTTGCCGTTGATGAAATTATTTTTATTTTTTTTACTTTTGCAATTTGTAACCCTTTTTTTCAATTTGCAATCTTAATTTGTAACCCCTCTTTAAACCTTTATGGCTGATTCTTATTAGTTGCATCTAGTGTTTCTTGTAAAATATTCAGACAAGGAGAATTTGAATAGAATCCTATATAGAATAGAAGCGTGTTCAAAGAAAACCTAACTAACTTAGCAACAGCAAATTAATTACAAGAGAAGAATCTACACCGTACCCTTCACTCCCCCTTAAAGTTTCAGATGATTTACCAGCTATACCTTAAAAGGAGAAAACAGTCCCTTACTACAGAGAATACTTTTGGATGCGGCCCGACAACTTGTGCAATATTACAAGTTTTATTGATTCTCTCACTGGATGATGCAATTAATACTCATATATTGTGTTACCGCTTCTATTTTGACAACTTGTTTCTTGACCCAAAAACACTTTATCATTGGTTGTCTGATGAAAAAACCCACAGCATTTCCATGAAAAATGTCGAGCTTGGCCAAAGCACCCCGTTGGCACCCTGACAGACGCCACTGCCAAAAAGACAATGCATTCCTCCACTCGCTTATGCTATGCTTTCTTCAAGTGGGATTTCTCTAGTGGAAAGCGATTAAACACTTGTCGCGTTTGGCAAGTGTGCAGCGCGCTCTCTGGAATGGGATTCTAAAGAGAGAGATGGGTTGTTGTGCTCCTAAATTCAGCTTTGCATCACAGAAATAAATTATATTTTAAAGTATATTAAAATAGAAACCATTATTTTATATTGTAATAACATTTTGCAAGTTTACTGTTTTTTTCTGTATTTTTGATCAAATAAATGCAGCCTTGACGGGCATAAGAGACTTTAAAAAACATTACAAGTCTTACTGAACCCAAACTTTTGAGCGGTAGTGTGTATATTATATATATATATATGTATGTATATGAAAGCTGTGTAGTTTTGCAGATTCCTAATCATAACTCTGTAATTCCAGAAAGAAAACCAACATTTTGCCGTTGATGAAATTATTTTTATTTTTTTTACTTTTGCAATTTGTAACCCTTTTTTTCAATTTGCAATCTTAATTTGTAACCCCTCTTTAAACCTTTATGGCTGATTCTTATTAGTTGCATCTAGTGTTTCTTGTAAAATATTCAGACAAGGAGAATTTGAATAGAATCCTATATAGAATAGAAGCGTGTTCAAAGAAAACCTAACTAACTTAGCAACAGCAAATTAATTACAAGAGAAGAATCTACACCGTACCCTTCACTCCCCCTTAAAGTTTCAGATGATTTACCAGCTATACCTTAAAAGGAGAAAACAGTCCCTTACTACAGAGAATACTTTTGGATGCGGCCCGACAACTTGTGCAATATTACAAGTTTTATTGATTCTCTCACTGGATGATGCAATTAATACTCATATATTGTGTTACCGCTTCTATTTTGACAACTTGTTTCTTGACCCAAAAACACTTTATCATTGGTTGTCTGATGAAAAAACCCACAGCATTTCCATGAAAAATGTCGAGCTTGGCCAAAGCACCCCGTTGGCACCCTGACAGACGCCACTGCCAAAAAGACAATGCATTCCTCCACTCGCTTATGCTATGCTTTCTTCAAGTGGGATTTCTCTAGTGGAAAGCGATTAAACACTTGTCGCGTTTGGCAAGTGTGCAGCGCGCTCTCTGGAATGGGATTCTAAAGAGAGAGATGGGTTGTTGTGCTCCTCTTCTTTCATACAGCTCAGCAGTGACTTATGGATTTTGCCACATTGTATTTTATGTTTTTGAACAGCTTCAGAAATGTCAGATATTCAAAGCAATATTGACAATGACTGTATGGACAACTGCCCTAGATATACACTCAAAGCCCAGTGGTGACAAGACATCTTAAGACCCAGATACACTTAAAACAAATTTCTTTTTCGTTCTTCACTTAGGGGTAAAAATAAGTTCCCTATATACGTAAGCAGCAGTTTACGGTTAGTGAACACCCTGATGCCAAAATATGTTAATATGTGCCGCCAGTGTGTAAAAGTAATGCATTACAATATTTCGTTACTGCATAAAAAAGTAACTAATTGCATTACTTAGTTACTCTTTATAGAAAGTAATGCATTACTTTTGTCACCCGGGCTGGGCTTGCTTATTTGTTTTTTACTAACCTTTTAATAAACCCAAAATTTATATTTTTGGCAACTGTAAAGGCCATTTCACACTAAAAGTGAAATTAAAAAGCCTTAGGCCAAGTAAGTGCCTCTGCACCTCACTCCAGATTTCTCTCAAGACGGGGGCAGAAGAGGCATCAGTGACTTGCACTGCTTATTTAAAAAAAGTATCTCAGATATTTAGTTGTAAATTTAAAGGTAATGCATTACTTTACTAGTTACTTAAGAAAAAGTAATCTGATTACATAACTCGCTTTACTTGTAATGCATTACCCCTGACAAAATACAGTAGTGAGAAAACAGCAGTTAAGAAAGCATCTAATCATAGCGATGTGGATGTTTGCACCAAGTCACGTCACGTTTATTTATATAACACTTTATACAGATCAAATTAAAGTAGGGTGACCATACGTCCTTTTTTTCCGCATACATGCTCTAGACAGGATTTGTAAATTACCTGAAATGTCCAGATTTTGGTTTTGTTTTTCAATTGTTTTCATACTTGTTGAAGTAATGACTGAAAAGCAGTCTGGCCAATTCTGGCATGCAAGAAGGTGGGATCTACAGAGAATGGTCATAGCAATGCAAATGCACTTATAATAGAAATCCTGAAAAGATTTCCATGTCAAGGCGGATCAAACCTATATTGCGTAATCGCCATGGACCAATGGTAGTTCAAACTTGTTTACCAGCTGTAGTGAACTTTTTACGCAAAGTTTGCTTTGGCAAGCTGTTTCAAAGTCCTGATTTTGCTCGATTGATGTCACACCACACCAGTTTTTCGATTTGGCCTGAAGTATATGGGGGCAATTAGGGACTCTCCAGTTCAAGGTTCAATGCGGCCTGTGATCAAACCTTCCAATATCTGTGTTATACCAACCGCCTGCTTACCAACTCGATAGACCTAGTAGGTTGTCCAACACATTCTCATGGCAATGCATAATAGTTAATACGAGATGGTGAAATACTAAGATATTGAATATGTGTTATTTACGATGAGTGTATAATCAGTGGCCTCCTGACCTCCTCTGGGCAGTGAATCGTTGAACAGCCCTTCGGTGACCTCACACGTACTGCCGTCCCCACCGCACACACGGCATCTGTCCTCCTTGGCAGCCGAGCCCAGGATGTTATCACAGCCAACATGCTGGAAAGACACACAGGCAGGGTGTTTCAGTGCAGGGGAACATGGTCGAGGCGTTCTCAGACCTCGACTATCTGATTCAAAGAAAAACATGTCATTCACACAGCTGTATTGAGTCAGAAAATGACATGGAAAGATGAATGGTTCTGGTTTTGCTTCAGGACCATGATTTTACACTAGACATCAACACAGTAACAAAATTATTTGCAGCATTGTACAAAATTAAATAAAAATGTCCTTTAAATCAAACACTGAAATACATTTGATATGACAGGCTGATTATGAATATTGACATTTTTGTAAGTGCATAAACAATAGCAGAAGCATGAGTAACAGTATTTATATTTCTAGTGTTTTGTTTCTAAATGTCAATTGAATTCTGTTGGTTTTATGCTCTCGGCAGCCAATAATTCACCACACAAAACACATTGTGGTCAGCACAAACCATGTTTATTCATGTGTCAAATTTTCTTTCATTTTGCGTGGCTTTGTTCATGAGGGCATGTCACGCAACCTGTCCATGTTGGCATTTGTCTAACTTCACTGGCTTCTACCAAATTACAGGTGGATTTGTGCCAAAATACCATTGAGTCTGACTGGACACAACCTTTGATGTACAAAAATGGCAATATGCGCTAAATTGGTACCATATTGGTTTACCGCCAATATTGTGTGTGTGTGTGTGTGTGTGTGTATATATATATATACAGTATATATATTTTTTTTTTTTCTCGATTTTGCAAATAAAGATTACTGGAGTATTACTTCATGTTTAATTCAATGTGTTCAATGTAGCAATGTTCTTTTAATAGCAATTTCTGAGTAAAAACTGACTCAAAGCACAGTAATTCCTACATCTTTTTTTTCCCTCCCATTTTTATGCATGGTTATATGGTTAGCTGCAGAAAAGAGAGGTGACCCATTTTTTTGGTTTTGACTGACCAGCTGCGAATCACTGGACTACACATAAGATTGATTGCTGTTTTACTTTATTTTGGATATTCCCTGTGCATGCCTTTACTTGCATTATTATCAAACTGAGGGTCTCATCCAAAATGCAATGAGAGGTTGTTGGGTGCAGCACAGATTGATTCCTTTGAGTTTAAAAGAACATTGTGTGCATTTCATCGCTCCAGATCAGATCAAAGAGCAAACCTTGGGGATAAATTAAAATAGTATCTTAAACCACATAAATCAAGGATGTGGACAACAATGTGTGAGACTAACAAATACCAAACTGCAGACAAAATCTCAGAGTTCAAAACAGTTCAAAATCCATTTTAGCCCTAAAATAAACAAAGTGTTGCACTATTGCGTCAATTTGGTTTGTTATACAAATGATATTGTAAGTGAATTAAATATCACTCTCGAGTGGCTCACCCGCCTTTCTAACTAACTTGGGAAAACACAATTTGATTCCAAACTGTACTGTCCTGATAAGAAGTGAACCCTCCTCACCACCAGCCTTTATTTAGGCTTCATTGTTCTGTGTTAGTGATTGGCTATGTTCTGTAGACTGTCCGTCTGAGACCGTTAGTGTCTGATAAACAAAGATAATGCAACATTTTAGACCACAAGGGCCACATAAAAATAGAAATCTATAAAATATACTAGAAACAAGCCACTCTGCACATTTCTGAAAATTGTGGCTGCATTCTATAAAGTATGCTAGATTAGGATTAGTGCATCCCATACCATATTTTTTAAATATATAATATATATGCTGCGCAGTATGGATATTATACTCAGAATACTAAATTTGAAGATTTATACTGTGCTGGATGCATATTTAACCTTACATTTCAAACATGACAGATGAACCACAAATAATATCTAAGTAACACATTAACTACATTTACATTTATGGATTTGGCAGATGCTTGTATAAAAAATGACTAGTATATATTTGATCAATTCCTGCATTCACTGGGAATCAAACCATGACACTGGCATTGGTAGCGCCATGTGCTACTGTTTGAGTCACAAGAATGCTTCTTTCTAGTTTCTAACAAGAAATTATTTGATTGAACTATTGAACTGTCAAGACTGGATTAAAAATGCAAAACAATCATTCTTATGTCTGAGATAAGTCAATGCCACTTATCCCACAATCCCTTGCACAACAGTAGAGTTTGTCTCCATTCTCTTTTGATTTTTTTCAGTTGCTAAAATGCTAAATCTACAACACATTTCATAGATTTTTAGGTAATAATATGCAAGAACTTTAGCTAGATGCTAATGCTAACTTGCCAAACAGTATATAACAAAGGTGTGTAAGATATCAAGATGTAATTCATGTCTCAAAACTGCTGTACCTCACTCATGTCTTTAGTAAGTTCAATGCATTTGGAAATCGGGATGCAGCCTAAGTACTATAAAATGGCATGCTACTTACTACAGTAAATTCTCAGTAAAAAATGACTTTCTTCAGGCACTGCAAGTGAGATTTGGGCTGTAGACTCACCTTGCACTCTCCATTGATGCATATGTCCAGCGAGTCTGCCTGGCAGCGCGTGCCGTCGATGACAGCGGGCGAGCGTTCGGTGTAGAAGTTGTAGCCCTCAGCCAGACAGTTCAACGCACATGGTTTCACTCCACCTGAGAAACACAGCGAGTTTATCGTCAAACAGCTGATGTCACTCTCTTAAACACCAGTGGACCTTTTATCAGGTTATCGGTGGGTCCCAAGGTCCTCAAGAACTCCTTCGCGGCCATACAGTGTCAAAGAGGCGGCCACGATTTATGTCATACGATAAACTGAAAATCCATACGGAATAACAGAGTCAATCTCTCGCCTCACCAGTGCATTGATAAGTGATTCGCAGGCTGCTTTTCTTGCAATTATCTCAAGCCAGGGCTCTCAGGCAGGGCCCACAGTTTTCTTTTATGCCTTTGTTGATATTAACAATCCAGTCAAAGCACTCGAGCACAAGAGAGGCATTACTCATAGTGGAATCTGAACGTTTTGCCTGACATCATTACTGCAAAGACACGGGGAGAGATTAACAGAGCTGCCAACAAAAATCATGGAGACATCCACAAAGGTTATCGCAGACTTTACAAGCGAAGTTCACCTCCAAAATGAGTTTTAAGAGCCAAACAATTGGTAATGATAATGCTTATTACAGGGCAGCGAGATAAGGAGATGATTGAGTCGATTGTGAACTTCCTGTCAGAATGTTTTGGAAATGCTTCTCGATCTCTTGAAGATTCTCTTTTTCTTTGTTTATTGGGTTTGGGCCATTTTGTTGTAAACAAGAAATGCACCCTTCCCTCTGGGTTTTTTTGTTAAAACAGTCTGAAAATGCATCAGAGAAAGACTCAATGAAACCACAAAGGTGTCAAAGGTCGAACAGTGGTGGTAGGGTTTGATTTTAACTGTTATTAATTTAATTTAATTATATGTCAAAAAAGTACACAAATCACAATTATTTTCTGAGTTCCCAAATGATATATATTAATAAATAATACATTTGATTAAATAATCATTTTAAAAAAAGTATTCAAATAATTTATCATGCTGTCATATATACATTTATTATTATTATTATTATTATGATACATACTATATATACATAGTATATATAGTAAAATATAAATACATAAATAAATATTTAAATAATTATGCTAACATATATATATACTGTATATATATATATATATGAAATTATACAATACATATATTATATTAAAGCAATATTGCATTTATGCTTGTGTGATATTACTCATGCATTTTATATATATAAAATATATATTTATTATTTAAAAAAATTATTTTATTAATGATT